ACTGAAATACTCCGGGTAATATGCATCCCCTCACGGAAAGCTAAGCTGTTCGTTAACATCATATATGCGTGAGTTCACAGGTATTCTCCCAAACGGTCCTGATGAAGGCTCAATAATCCAGGTAGAAAAATCTAACAAAGGTAAGTCATGTCCTCTGGACGGCACCACAAACACCTCAAACTGGTTGATTCACTATGAGAAGGTGCTATTTATAAGACTGAGTTTGTTGCAGCGCCTTGGACTGATGAAGTGTTTTGGATGAAAGAAGAAACGTTTCAACAGAAAGAAACCGTCCAGAGGACCTGACTTAACTTTGTCAATCTCCCAAACATAGTGAGTGTTCAGACCTTGTCCAGATAGTGAGGCAAAAGTGCTCGAAGCAGGAGGGATGAGCACTCGCTCAGCTCCGACGGCTTCACCACCGCTGCATTGCCTGTTGAGAGAGCAGGTTTTCTGTGAATGAGAGGAGCTCAGAGAAAGAGAAAACGTTGGTTACGTACTGTAACCCCAGATTCTATGAATATAGGCGTAGCCCTTTAAGGCTGTCGCTGATGGGTTTATCCCGTTATGCGCAAGCATCGTACTGAAAAAATTAGTCCACGCCCACCTGCTGTGTGGGCCCCACCCGATCCGTATAAATTACGTTAAGAGCGGGTAATCTGCTCCCAAATAGCTTATTCTTTTCTTCAGCTATTCAGGAGCCAGTGAGGCCCGACGCTTAAAGGGCTACGCCTATATTCATAGAATCTGGGGTTACAGTACGTAACCAACGTTCTATGTCATATAGGCTTCGCCCTTTAAGGCTGTCGCTGATGGGTTAAGGGCGAAGCGGATGTGGTCCTCGCCTCACTGGGTCCATTCGAACCCAGTAAGAAGCGGAAGCTTGCCCAAAAAACGTCTTGCCACTCAGTTCCCCATGTGCATAATTACGCATCGCGTAATTGTGTGCCATGCACAGACGCATGTTGTGCAACTATGCGTTCTGACAGCATGAATGCCCCGGAAAAACTTTCAACGGGGAAGATATTGAAAAGAGGAGGGGGGGGGGGCATGAAGCAACTGATTCATGATTGAACAGTATAAACAGATAATATCAATGAACTGATTATTGAACAAATGAACTGATTGGTAACAATAGTCATGAACTGATTAGTGACAATAGAACCGAATCACAGACACAACTTGTGGCTGATAACAACATCTCACACTGTAATGCATGCAGACAGAGGTGAGCTTAAACAGAGTTCCATGAGAACAACAATATTCATTCTGTTAGAGCACTAAGGACAGAATGTGTCATGGAACGAGCCGTTACATCACGTAGGTAAAAGCGAATAAATGAGCAGGGTGATGACCATGCAGCCGCAGTGCAAATGTCCTGCATTGACATACCATTATGCAGAGCAGTCGAAGATGCGATACCCCTGGTTGAGTGTGCTTTGAGGTTGACAGAAGGCTCTAGATCTGATGCTCTGTAGGCTTCAGAAATGGCCTCACACAGCCAGTGTGACAGGCGCTGGGTGGATAACGGGCGGCCTGCGGATGCATCTCTATAATGCACAAACAAATGTTGAGTTTGACGCATTGCAGCTGTGCGCGCTATGTAACACGATAACGCCCGCACCGGACAGAGAAGATGAAAAGATGCTTCTTCTTCTGATCTGTGGGGGGGAGGGAAGAATCCCACCAACGATATCTGTCTCGATTTAAAAGAGCTCGTGATGCTTTTAGGCATAAAGGCTGGGTTTGGTCTTAAATCAGCTGAACTACCGTCAGCCTGGATTCT